AATCTCAAAATTCTCACAAAAAGGTTATGCCAAAAAGGTTCTTAGAGAAATGTCTCATATAATACTTTCATTTTAACAGGTTATTTCAGTGTTTAAAGGGCACCTATTATGCACCTTTTTACAAGATGTAATATTGGTCTCGGGTGTCCCCAGAATGTATTTGTGAAGTTTTAGCTCAAAATACCCCACAGTTAATTTATTATAACCATTTGAAAATGTAATTTTGGGCCCTGTTTAAAAATGAGCTGTTTCGTGTGTATACCACCTTAAATGCAAATGAGCTGCATTTAAGGTGGTAATATGTACATTTCAAGTGCTAATATGTACATTTTAGGTGCTAATATGTACATGTTAGGTGTTAATATGTACATTTTAGGCACAAATATGTACATTTTAGGTGCTGATATGTACCAAAATGTACAAAAGTGTACCTTTTGAAAAGGTACAGCCCCATTGACAGCTTTTGTACCTTTTTTTTTTTCTGAGAGTGTAAAGTCTCCCCCATGCAGCACATCCCAAAGACTCTCAATGAATTTAAGCTCTGGACTCAGAAATGCAGATTCCCTTTCCAACCATTCTTTCACAATTTGACCCTGATGAATCTTGACTGGAATATGGCCACGATGTGTCTTCCTACATGAGTGTTTAAGATTTGAAAAGCTACACAGTCCATCAATTAGGGTTAGAAGAACTGTTGTTATGATAGAAACATAATAATCACTGCAATAATGAACCAATCATAGACTTAAGCATTTGCCTAGTTAAATCCAAACAGCATTGTTTTTTTTTTGTTTTTGTTTTTTGTTTTTTTTTTCAAAACCCAGGAGACTAATTCGCCAGTGGTTCCCTCAAAGTTTTCCTATGGGTTTTAATAATAAGGTTTTTCAATTTATGAGTAAAATAAGGTCTAGCGATACTTGATGTTTTGTTCTACAATATAAACTGCTCACATTCACACTTCGAATGTTCTTATCTATATACTTGCATTTTTTTTTAATAAACATTACAGCTTTAATATTCTCGTTTTTGATATAGGTGTGTAGTTATCCCTGCAGCACACTTTTACACAGTATATCTCTGAGATTTATTGTATTTATTATATATGGATGACAAGAAGCTCTAGTAAAACAAAACAAAATCAATAGATTGTTCTTTCTAATTTCTCCATTGATATTTGTAGGATGCAACACTGCTATAATTTAAACGATCTATTAGTTTCTTTCAGAATAAACAACAATGTACTCTGAACATACTGCCAATAGTCAAAAAGTCTGGTTGATGAGACTATTTTTGGTTTATTGAGCAGAATTGCAGCTCTAAATGTTTTAATTATCGACGATCTTTCTTCAGGAAAACCCCATGTATGAAAACAATCGTCACTATTGTGTTTGCTCTGGAATTATGTGCACTCTATTTTTGAAAAGGTTAATCTACCAATATGAACGATCGCTCGCGGGATATCGCACCCTTGACTGATTTCTTGTTTTTCAAGAAAAATTGCTGTAACCTTTACACACTGACGACAAACCTCTTTAGGTTGCTTTATATTGATTCAGCTTTCAAACCAATAGTGAGTAATAATATGAATGGCAGGAGTATTCCTGAGTGCAAATATCTCTGTAATTTAGCAAGTGTTTTCATTTCTTTTTTTCCTGAAGGTTCATGTGAGCACACTGTTGGCTTTGTGCTACATTAACCGTTATTACACCGTGGCATTTCATAAAACGTACACACTCTAAACCAGATAACTAGATACATACACTCTTAGAAGAAAAGGTTCTATATAGAACCTTAAAAGGTTCTATCAGCGCTACGTATTTGGAACCCCTAAAAGGTTCTATACACTCTTAAAAAAAGGGTTCCTCTGGGTTCTATATAGAACCCTGGGGTTCCGTACTTGGCCAATAGAACCTTTTACCAAAAAAAAAAAAATGGTTCTATATAGAACCATTTTGGAGTTCCATATATGAAGCGGGGGATGGAACCATTTCTTCTAAGAGTGTAGAGGTTCACTTGTTTAAATCCTTCAGATAGTTCATGACCCTTTGCTTTATTGAGTAAAAACATGAAACTGTGTGATAGATTTTATTTTCACTGCCGTATTAATCTTATTCTACGTAAGTGCATCGTATTTTGGGCTATTTTTGGCTCTGATCCACTCAGTCAAAATTAAAAAACTTAGTTTAAGTTTTGTTATGCATACTTCTATCTCCCATCTGTACCCATCCTTGCATGTAAACACTGTAACTCTTTTTTCACTAATATGGCTGACTCCTCAATGCAACTCCAGGTGCTGAAAACGTATTTCATTGGGTAAATTCTTTTCCAAATATACCAAAATAAGTATGACTTATACACTATATTCATAGTCTTATGAAGTTAATATAGCTTTGTGTGGTGAAAAGATGAAATTTAAGTTAATTACTGAAAATCTTCCCTGCGACTGGATCTTTCAAACCTCATAACACTTTTTTTTTCATGGTCATGGACTGTAAAAAATGATTTTTTGGTGAAGTAAATACTAGTGAAAAAACCCAATGTAATTTACTTGGAAAAAGTTAGTTCAGGCAAGAATTTAAAAAACTAAGTAAATTCCATATCAGTACTTAATTCAAGCGAGTATAAATGAAAGTCTATATATCAACTCAATAAAATTAAGTAAAAATTACTCAACTTTTCTGATACTGGGGTTCCCATCATGCACTGGACCCTGAATAATCAATGAGGCTCATTTTTCACTGGTTTCCAGCTGTATTTACACTGTTTTATCATTGATTTTTGTTGTCAATATTAGTAAATTGCCATTTTGTGACATTTCGAGTAAATTTTTTGCTCAAAATGACACATTCAAACACAAAAATGGCCCATCAAATGTTACCGCCATGTGTATTGTCTACCAACTATTGAGGTGTTTGCATTCACATGAGGCTTAAAGTCTGACATGATGTATATATAAATTACTTAGATGAAGTAAAGCACGTACTATAAATGACTAATAAAATTCAAGATTATTGTTTTAGTGAAATGTAATACAAAGGCAAAGGAAATCGGAATTAATCAACCTTTTACAAGCCGAGTTAAAATTACTTATTTTTTGTAAAGTTGACTTAATTCCATATTCCAAATAAATTTAATTTAAAGATTTCTAATTAAAGCTACTGATAAATATGTTTAGGTTTTTACTTGGCAAATCTTTGTAAATTTACTAGCATTTTCTGAGTGAGATCGTTTAGCAAGGTTTTTTCAAGTAAATCCTACTCCAAACTTTTTACAGTGTAAGAAACTTTTTAAGTACATCAAATTATTCTAACATGTGGTATTCTATGTAGTTAGTTGCCTTGTCATTGCAAAGTTAATTATATTTAGAATGTCTAAATACAACGTAGTGCACTTGATGATAAACATGAAACCATTAATAGTTGATGGCCATTATTCCTCACGTATAATTGATCAAATTGCGCTGATCATGGGTTCTGTTTGTGTATCCTTTGAGTTCTTAAATGGGTTTAACAGCAGCTGAAACAGGCGTTTTAATTTATTTATTTTGCTGAATCTGCAAGGTTGCAACTGCAGACTTTTGTGTGTGTAATTACAGTGATTTGATTTAGAGAAAATTGATCTTGCCAAGTTGGAGAAATGGTAGTGTATCAAATTATTCAAGCTAAGCTGCTGTTCAATTTTTCGACTTGGATTTCACTTAGCAACGGACACAAGCATGTGATAAAAGGGCTATTTATACACACACAGGGTTCTGTTACAGCTTGAGCGTGTTTGCCTTGTTGCATGGAAAATACTGGCACAATTATGGGGGAAAATGAGCACTTCAGAGGATGGAGAGATGTTCGATGTTGCGCACCACTTACCCTCAGACAAGAGAGATGCACATTGACAGCAAATTGTTAAATAGTTTTACTCAAAGTTTAACCCTATCCACTTGGATGATTTGAAGTTCACTCAGCCTTTCTGTTTCATGCAATGAATCTGTTTTAATTTTTTTTTCAGAACTGCATAAACACACTTAACTAGTTATGTAATGCATAGGCTATTACTATGATATTAGCTGTTTAGTAGTACTTATAAAGCACATATTATTGCCTTATTCTGCGTGACCATATTCTACATCCCTTAATATACCCAATGCCTAAACTTAACAACTATTAATAAAGAGTAATTGGGATTTTATTGAGACAAACGTCATAGTAAAGAGGGAGAATTGGGCCCTAATCTAAAGCGTGACCACGCACTGAGTAAAATATGGGAATGTTTATCAAACAATGGTGTAAAATGGTCATAAAAATTACATTAAGTAAAATCTGCGCTGCCATTACAAAACAGCCATAACAGACACTTTTCAGTCTAGGAGTAATAAAAACACAATGTTCCTAAAGTGACAACCGTTAATTGTCATCTTTGCACCAGGAAAGACATTGCTAATTAATATGGATATTATATATGTCATTTCACTTTCCTTTTAGACAGAAATAATATGCTAGATGGAGTTTTTTTTTCTCTAAACGTAGAAGAAATATTACATTTATTTGGTCATTAGCTTCTTCTGTCTTCTGAGGTTCCATCAGAATGACCCTTCATGACAAAAGGATGTCATTAACGCTGACAAAGTGCTCTGGTTTAATCATATGCAAGACGATTTCTCGCTCTGGCGCAAAATATGTAAATAGGATCATTTTGTGTTAATTAGGAAACTCAAAAAAGTGTGACTCAAATAGATTAACATTTGCTTTTTTTACATCCGATTTTATGGAGTTGGACTGCGATGTTTAATTCAGCATGGAATGTTAAATACCTGAGGTGTTGCAATTGTTAACTTACAATTTCTAGAACATTCTCCAAGAAAGTAATGAAGATCTCTCAGGTACTGTAATGCAGCACAAATGATTGCAAAAGATTACATTCTCTGTTAACTGGCACTTGAGGGCCCATTGAAAAGAAGAATCACAAATGAAATCTCTCTAAAAATAGCCACGGTTTCTCCCAAACAGCTGTGAGATGAAGGTGGATAGCAAATGAAGACTCTCCTTAGATGTTTGTTCTGAGGAAAATACTAGAAAATATCAGAAAATATCTCAACAATGTCACCAAATGTCTGCAGTCTACAATCATATGGTAAGATCTTGGTATCAAACTTCAACGATTGTCACATTTGTTGCTGTTTTTTTATGTCTATGCACTTATGATTTCTTTCAACATGGGGACAAGAGAGGTATCAGTCTATAAATGGGAAATTTGATCAAATAAATTTAGAGTTGATGAGCATACGATGAGATTTCCCACTTGCCATCCCGAAACTTTTGAATAGAAGTGAATATTCAATACTTTTCCATGATCATGACTTTTTGTTTTTGGATTGGTGGTACATATTTTGTATTTCATAAGCATTAAAAGCCATTAAAATAAACATGACTAGATATTTTCTGTCCCATTTTGCTTTCATAATCATAACATTTATTTCCAAGTGAAGCAAAAATGTACAATTTATACATTGGAAATGGATTAGATCTTGATGAACAGGTTGAAATGGAGGTGATTGTAGGAGTCAATGAAAAGTAAGAGGGATTTTTGATGTCAAGGAAAGTCATTTTAGAAGGGAGGTTTTGATAAAAGATTACATAGACAATTTAATTTAGAATAAAATCCACTATCGATAAGACCTTTTGATTTCATGTTGACTTAAAGGCAAGTAAAAGCAGTCTGTGCATGTGGCATCTCTTGTAAAGTGTTTATATACGTTCACATCCGACACGACTGTCACATCCGATTGACATTTTTGTGACATTTTTGTGCACATCTGATTGAAATCTGATCAAATTTAGCAAGTGTGAACGGCAAAAAAAATCACAAGTTACATTCAAATGTGGTTTGAAATCCTATATTGCATTTCTGGAAATCTGATTTTTCTGCCACTGGCTCAGAAGACGTTGTAGTCCAGCGTGACGGCTACACATTGCCATGTTGTAAATAAGACATCTGTATTGCAATCACCTCCATGTCGCGGTTGTTGTTGCCGTATGCCTACCAATGCAAATAAATTGCCATATAAATCAATGCAGATATTTTGGAAAACAAATTGGATCTGAACAGTTGGGAGACCAGATTTCCATCGGATAGACAAATAATTGGATTTGGACATACAGCGTGAACATAGCCTAGGTGTACAGTAGTGTCTCTTTGTCCCAGGGGCCTCTAGTCTCTTGATCCCCGCTATCTTCAAGCTCTCTTGTTTCAGCTCAGCAGCCTGGAATATGAGAAGATGTGAAGAACATCCCTCCCAGCCCGCTTCAGCAACAGACAACAGAACCTTAAACCCTCGTAGCACGAGCACGACAACGGTTTGAGCCGTGCCTTGAATAATTTATCCATGTTGCATGAGGCGAAAAATGTGGAAAGATTTGGGGAAATGTCTACACTTGAACAAAATTGATTTTAACAGTTTTATTAATAGTAATACCTTATTCACTTCTTTTGTAGGCCAAAGTGAGAAACCTACACTCACCTACAGGATTATTAGGAACACCTGTTCAATTTCTCATTAAGGGCATGGCAGTTGCTTCAATGCATTTAGGGGTGTAGTCCTGGTCAAGACAATCTCCTGAACTCCAAACTAAATGTCAGAATTGGAAAGAAAGGTGATTTTATTTCACAATCTGCTCAGTTACTGGGATTTTCACGCACAACCATTTCTAGGGTTTACAAAGAATGGTGTGAAAAGGGAAAAACATCCAGTATGCGGCAGTTCTGTGGGTGAAAATGCCTTGTTGATGCTAGAGGTCAGAGGAGAATGGTCCGACTGATTCAAGCTGATAGAAGAGCAACTTTGACTGAAATAACCACTCGTTACTACCGAGGTATGCAGCAAAGCATTTGTGAAGCCACAACACACAAAACCTTGAGGCGGATGGGCTACAACAGCAGAAGACCCCACTGGGTACCACTCATCTCCACTACAAATAGGAAAAAGAGGCTACAATTTACAAGAGCTCACCAAAGATGTCATTGGACAGTTGAAGACTTGATTATACTGTTGAGACATTCAGATGGTAGAGTCAGAAATTGTTGTAAACAGAATGAGAACATGGATCCTTCATGCCTTGGAACCACTGTTCAGGCTGGTGGTGGTGGTGTTTTCTTGGCACACTTTAGGCCCCTTAGTGCCAATTGGGCATCGTTTAAATGCCACGGCCTACCTGAGCATTGTTTCTGACCATGTCCATCCCTTTATGGCCACCATGTACCCATCCTCTGATGGCTACTTCCAGCAGGATAATGCACCATGTTACAAAGTTCGAATCATTTCAGATTGGTTTCTTGAACATGACAATGAGTTGACTGTGCTAAAATGGCCCCCACAGTCACCAGATCTCAACCCAATAGAGCATCTTTGGGATGTGGTGGAACGGGAGCTTCGTGCCCTGGATGTGCATCCCACAAATCTCCATCAACTGCAAGATGCTATCCAATCAATATGGGCCAACATTTCTAAAG